TCCTTTCAACCTGGCGGACATCAACGACGTGAGCCCCTCGGGCGGCTTCGTGGCCGAACTCCTTCGGCCCGAGTTGGACCCAGTGTACATTCCGCCGCAACAGCAACAGCCGCCAGGTGGCGGGCTGATGGGCAAGTTTGTGTTGAAGGCGTCGCTGAGCGCCCCCGGCAGTGAGTACGGCAGCCCGTCGGTCATCAGTGTTAGCAAAGGCAGCCCGAACGGCAGCCACCCGGTGGTGGTGGCGCCCTACAGCGGCGGGCCGCCACGCATGTGCCCCAAGATCAAGCAGGAGGCGGTCTCTTCGTGCACGGTCGGCCGGCCCCTGGAGGCCCACTTGGGCACGGGACCTCCTCTCAGCAACGGCCACCGGCCGACGGCGCACGACTTCCCCCTGGGGCGGCAGCTCCCCAACAGGACTACCCCGACCCTGGGAGCGGAGGAACTGCTGAGCAGCAGGGACTGTCATCCTGCCCTGCCGCTGCCCCCGGGCTTCCACCCCCACCCGGGGCCCAACTACCCACCCTTCCTGCCAGACCAGATGCAGCCGCAGGTGCCGCCGCTCCATTACCAAGGTCAGTCCTGGGGATTCCTTGTTCGGGCTGGGGAGCACTGCCTGTGCCGGGGGCCCACGGGATGAGGCTGACCGCCCCCACTTCTTCGCCCCTAGAGCTCATGCCACCCGGGTCCTGCATGCCAGAGGAGCCCAAACCTAAGAGGGGGAGAAGGTCGTGGCCCCGGAAAAGGACAGCCACTCACACTTGTGATTATGCGGGTTGCGGCAAAACCTACACGAAGAGTTCTCATCTCAAAGCACACCTGCGAACCCACACAGGTAGGAGGACGGACAGACGTGGTGGAAAGGAGGGGGGGGGTGTCCAGCCCCACCCGATAACTATGGTCTCCCCTGGGATGTGGGGTACAGTCTATCTCCTCCATCTCCTGGATCCCGGGAGAGCAGCAAATGGGCGCCTACTTTTTTGCCCAGGAGCCTTTTGCTTGATGGATGGTATCAGTGCTTGAATGTGCAGTTTTGTCAGGCCTTTGAAAGGCAGGGAGACTCCAGGCTGAACATGGGCCTCTCCTAGCAAAGCATTGCCCTTGTAATCAAGAAATTATACTTTGCAGTGGATGGGATTCTTTTAATCCTTTTTTTTTTAACTTTCTAGACAATTTTCATTAGCTGTTCCCTTCCTAGATTCACCCTTTCTATTTTTAGTTCTAGTCTTAATAATTAGGTTTATTTACATTTCAAGAATGTAATGGGTCCAATTGCTGGGATCCTGGTTTAGGATGAACTTCCATGTCAGCGTAAGTAGGTCCACAAGGTTGTGTGTAGTTGGGCTATTCAGGAAAATTACAGAAATGTGGGTACAGAAAAAGGAGCCTCCTGTGGCTTTTTACACCCAATTTAGTGGGATAGGCTATTATAACTTGGCTTGGGCTAGGGGAGACACACTAGCAGGCATAGTTTCCAAATTCATTTCTACCACTGTGATATCTTGACTCCAAAAGAATGAAAATGTTAGCCCTCTAGAAGTGTAGGTTGAGGTGGATTTGTGTGTTTTCACTGCTCAACTATCTAGCTAATGCCTCCTTAAATAAAATAAAAAGCAAAAAAGAATATACATAAGGCATTCTTATAATCTGAAAGTTAATATGGTCTTAAGAGATATAAAGACATTCCTGGGTCTTTTGAGAGTTGGGTACTTGGGGAGTTGGTTTTAGTATTTGGGCTCCAGTTTTTCAAATGGCCAATTCTTCGTCGTCGTTGTTTTTATGGCATCTCTGTTTTTATTACTGAGGTCAAATTCAATCTGCTTTCTGTTTCAGTGGACTTATCCTGGATTGCTATGTCTTCTTGGATAATTGACCCCCTTATCATTATGCAACACCCCTCTTTATCCCTGATAATCACCCTTGTTCTGAAGTCTGCTTTCTCTGAAATTACTATAACTACTCCAGCTTTAACTACTGTTAGCATGGTATATGTTTCTTCAACCCTTTCGTTTTTTGTTTTGTTTGTTTTTAGAAATCTCCATTTTTTAAATTGAATTTATTGGGGTGACATTGGTTAACACAGTTATATAGGTTTCAGGTGTACCCATCATCTGTCTGTTTTTCATCCTTCAGCAATGGCTTTAACGGCTTTATTTTCCTGTTACAGGTGAGAAACCTTACCACTGTGACTGGGAAGGCTGTGGGTGGAAGTTTGCCCGCTCAGATGAACTGACCAGGCACTACCGAAAACACACTGGGCACCGCCCCTTCCAGTGCCAGAAGTGCGACCGGGCATTCTCTAGGTCGGACCACCTCGCCTTACACATGAAGAGGCACTTTTAAATCCCCAAACAGTGGACGTGACCCACACTGCCAGAAGAGAATTCAGTATTTTTTTTCCCTTTACACGGTCTTCCCGATGAGGGGAGGAGCCCAGCTGGAAAGCACTACAATCATGGTCAAGTTCCCAGCAAGTCAACTTGTGAATGGATAATCAGGAGACGGGAGGAAGCCCAAAGACAAATCAAAGAACAGATGGGGTCTGTGACTGGATCTTCTATCATTCCAATTCTAAACCCAACTTGAATATTCCTGGACTTACAAAACGCCAAGGGGGTGACTGGAAGCTGTGGATATCAGGGTATAAATTAGATCCGTGCGTTGGGAGGGGGGTGGGGGGGAGGGAAGACCAGTATTCCCTGGAATTGTGTTTCGATGCAATATACATATAAAGATCACCTTGTATTCTCTTTGCCTTCTAAAAGCCATTATTATGATATTAGAAGAAGAGGAAGAAATTCAGGTACAGAAAATGTGTTTTAATAGCCTAAACGATGGTGCTTGGTGAGTCTTGGTTCTAAAGGTACCAAATGAGGAAGCCAAAGTTCTCAAACTGCTGCATACTTTGACAAGGAAAATCTATTTTTGTCTTCCGATCTACATGTATGACCTAAGTCAGGTAAATACACCTGGTTTACTTTAACATTTTTATGCAGACAGTCTGTTATGCACTGTGGTTTCAGATGTGCAATAATTTGTACAATGGTTTATTCCCAAGTATGCCTTAAGCAGAACAAATGTGTTTTTCTATATAGTTCCTTGCCTTAATAAATATGTAATATAAATTTAAGCAAACTTCTATTTTGTATATTTGTAAACTACAAAGTAAAATGAACATTTTGTGGAGTTTGTATTTTGCATACTCAAGGTGAGAATTAAGTTTTAAATAAACCTATAATATTTTATCTGAACATTGCTTTTTGTTTTGTTTTCCTCCCTGAAGAGGTAGGTAACAGAAATGTCAGTTTAAACACAGTGGGTAGGACATGAGAAAAGCATGCTAAAAAGCCAAATTTTATCTCAACAACAGATTTAAAAGAAGACTTTAAAAGACTACTTAGTTTGGCAATAAATGCAACCTATGTGGTAGGGCTGAAAACTCAGTAATGGTTAAGCTCATAGAATTAAATTTACCTTTTCAGGTTGCTTTTTTCAATGTACATAAAAGTACATGAAAAGCAGTTCCCTTACCTGAGTATGAATTTCCCGGTAGAAAGAGCTCAATCAATCATTCTTCAATTTGCTCAGTTTAATATGAAAGTATTCATAATATAAACACACATTCCAGGTTCACATTTTAAGAGATCCTTATGGTTTTTCTTTAAAAATGAAATGAACATATAAAAATCTGTCTCTTCGAGGCCTGGCCTTGCATTCAGAACAATTTGTAACAAAAGAAACTTCCCACAGCGGAGAACCCTAAGAACATAGTTCCACAGTGCCCTCCTGAGGATTAAAGGACTCATTTATGCTTAGTGCGTGTTGCAGATATTACTTCTAGTTATAACCCTAAAGAAGTCAGCATCAAAGTTTCCAGCAGATTGTTTTAAAACGTCATCAGTCCTCTGAAGATGGCTAGCCCTTTTGTTTGAACAGACCGAGACCAGAGAATTACAAATTTTCCAAAGTCACAAAACTAAGTGTAAAGTAAAATTAAGTAAATTTTTAAGAAATGTTTTGGTAAGCTTATTTCTGAAGTGATTAAAGCCTAGAACTGCACTGAGACTGTTTTGAGGTGGGTCCCTATGAGTCTGAAGTTCATTTGTGGCAGTCACAGAAAAGGAAAAAGCATTTGTGACACTTGTTGGCACCATATATTTCTAAGGGTGATGTGGGTGACTGACTCACATTGTCCAGTGGATGGAAGCTGACTGGCATTTCCTTTCAACTGCTTATTCACCATCCACTATATCCAGTGTCCAGTAGTGTATGCATTTTATAAAGCGAATCAAAAATAGCAATTCATAAGAGGCTCATGGTGGACCAACACAAAGTATTTCTCTTGGCTTTTTAAGAGTCCGGCATAATAGGGGAACATGGCATATGTCTTAGCTTAAAAGAAAACAGGTGCACCAACAGGATGGAATTTTATGTGGCCAAGAACATATTCAAAGCATACTTAATGACATGGAAAAATGCTCATGGTATGTTAAGTGGAAAAAGCAGGATATAAGACTATAAACAGTATGATTCCAATTGGATAAGTTTAAATGCGTGTGCATTGAAGAAGAGAGAGAAATAATAGAAAAGAGTTGCCCTAGCTGGTTTGACTCAGTGGTAAGAGCGTCTGCCTGCAGACTGAAGGGTCCCAGGTTCGATACTGGTCCAGGGCTCACAGTGTGGGTCATACAGGAGGCAGCCAATCAATGATTCTCATCACTGATGTTTCTATCTCTCTCTCTCTCTCTTCCTCTCTGAAATCAATAAAAATACATTTTTTTAAAAAAAGAAGAAGAAAAGGGGAAAGACTAGGCTGAAATGTCAAAATATGAATACTGCTCTGGCTGAGTGGCTCAGTTGGATGGAGCATTGTCCCCTGCACCAAAAGGTTTTGGGTTCAAAATAAGTGAGGAAGACTTTTCAATGTAATATGATAAAACTATTCAACATGCACAGATAGCTAAAACTATTTAGTGTCTCGTCAGTCCTGAGCTCCTGGGTATACTGTCATTACTGCATTACAGAGCCACTCATACTGTATAATAAAGAGTATTAATATTTTCGACACCTGCTTATCACATTTATAAGATTTAATTTTATATGTCCTCGATTTTAACTTGTGCGCACAAAGGATTAACAACTTTCTCCTACGCATCAACACATTTTCAGTCTATCTCTTTTCCAGCAAAATATTCCTTCTACCTGAAAAAGTGCTTGACTCTTACAACCCTGTTATGGTTGGGTGAAACAGGAACTGTCACCATCTCGAGTCGGGGAATCATTCCTTTCAAAAACTGTTCCCTGTTACAAGATCTGTATGTTAAATAACCATTGTCACCCCAATAAATGAAATAAAAATAAAAATTGTTCCAATTTTCAGAAACATGCAATGTTATTTCACATTTGGAGAGTAACCATTTTTATATATAATGTCCTTACATATTAGATAGCCCGGGTGAGAGAGTCCTTATGCTATGAAAGCAAGTCCACAGGGAAAATATTAAAACAGGCAGTGATGTTACCTGTTGTACTTGGATATATGGGAGTACCTACATTTAGCAGCCTATGTCAGCCACCTTTTCTGTTATATGTCTGACTTCTGACGCTTCATTCAGCACAGCACTGCACATTCATAAGTGAATTTAAAGTCCATATTCTCTATCTACTCCCTCCCCCTTCTCTCTCTCTCTCTCTCTCTCTCTCTCTCTCTCTCTCTCTCTCTCGTACACCCATAGTCATCATCCAGTCCTACACAAACCTGTTTTTAAATTTTATGCATTATTTTATCATCTTATTTATTATGTATTTTATTTTATGTAGTTATTTTTATTTCCTCATAATTTTTAGCACCTTCTAGAGGCTCTTGTAGAGTGACATGCTTTTCTAGTGCTAACTCAATCTATGTCCACTTCCTAAAGTTTATAAAACTCTCATTGTTCACTGCAGAGTCGTTTAATAATATTTCATGTAAAACCACCAAGCACTCTACATAATGGATGCTGTGGAACACGGATCTCTCTCTTTTTTCTTCTTCACATTAAGTGAAACTAAAATGAAAGTTGAAAGCAAACACCTTTTGGAAGCTTTTGCCTTAAGCAAGAGAGAGAAGTGTACATTTCTCACCATCTCCTGAAAAACTAATAAATTCTTAAATCCTTATGAAGTGCCTAGAGCTTCAATGCCCTGATCACAGTCAAAACACAGGGAAAATCAACTGTTCAAATAGCGTAAACACAGAAATCTTTCTTTCAGGCTGGTATCAGGGCTGTCAGAGCCAGACAACTTAGTTAGGGATAGGAGGGCCCGTGGGGTAGGAGCATCCACCCAGTTGCTTCTCTGGACTCATGCATGTCGAGAGTTTATCTTTTTAATTGTTTTCCACGATGTCTTTGATATAATCACTTTTTCAAATCGCTTCGGTGTTCTCAGCACCCTGGATGAGTCAGCATGTTACAACCAGTCCTCCCAAGTGTCCTTCTCCACTTGTTCTTAAAGGAAAAGGTGGAAATAAATAGAAATCTAACTTAACAACAACTACAAAAGTAAATTCATATCCCAGGATCCAGGATCTGTTCGCTTACAACTAACAGAACATTTTTTACTGATGCCACACAATAATTATAATGATATCCAAGACTGTGAGAACCAGTTGTCATCATTGTATGTGTCTCTTCATGTCTATGTTGCATGTTATTATCGAATCCAGCAGTTCTCAACCTGTGGGTCGCGACCCCTTTGGCGGTCGAACGACCCTTTCACAGGGGTCGCCTAAGACCACCCTGCATATCAGATATTTACATTACGATTCATAACAGTAGCAACATTACAGTTATGAAGTAGCAACGAAAATAATTTTATGGTTGGGTCACAACATGAGGAACTATATTTAAAGGGCCAGAAGGTTGAGAACCACTGAGTAAGAGACCAGAGAAGTAGCTCTTTATTTAGAGAGAGAGAGAGAGAGAGAGAGAGAGAGCAAGCCTCAGGTAGAGGTTTGACAATCTAAAATCAATTAGGACGAACCATCAAATCTGTCCAGTCCAGGGCATCTGGGGCTGGGAGGTTGAGTGGGGTTATACTATGTATCTCACCTATAATATTTGACCCTATAGTAACTGGCACTGAATCAACATATTACTGAATGGCCGCCAGATCGCCATGACACCAAGCCAATGCATTCAGATGCTATACTCACATGCTCATTTAAAAGCTAAAGTGGGTAAATAACTTCACAGAAAAATTGCAGGAACCCTAGACATACTGGATTCGATTCTGGTCAAGGGCACATGCCTGGGTTGTGGGCTTGATCCCCAGTAGGGGACGTGCAGGAGGCAGCCGATAGATGATTCTCTCTCATCATTGATATTTCTATCTCTCTCTCCCTCTCCCTTCCTCTCTGAAATCAATAAAAACATATATATTTTTTTAAAAAGGGTAAGGGTGGACTTTCCCTCTCCCATCCCCATTTTACAGATGACCTGAGGTTCCCTTAATAGGTTAGCATTTTGCTTTTGTTTCTCATCTTGTTGACACACACAAAAGTGTTTCTCTTCTAGTACTTTCTTTGTTTGTTTTTGTTGTTGTCTTTTATTGATCTTTTAGAGGGAGAGGGAGAGAGACCTCTATGGACTACCTACTGCATGCCCCCTACTGTGGATGGAGCCTGCAAGGCATGTGCCAGGCAATAAATGGACACAGTGCATGGGACCATGCTCAACCAATTGAGCCACACCGGCCAGGGCTCTTCTAATACTTTTGTCTTCAGTGTGCTGGGTAGGCAGGCCTACAGGCAAAATAAATACACCCCAATTCAAAAGGCTTTGCTAACATCCAGGTTCTCCCAGTAAACCTGCTTAAGAGTCAGAAGACCCAGACTTTCTGTTCCAGTGAGAGTGCTCTTTCCCTTGTCCAGGCAGACTGACCCGGAATCCCAGGTTTCCTTCAGCTCCTTCTTGCGCTGGTCACTATGCCATGCACTGGTCTATGCTTTTAGTTTGATGGGGAAGACAAAGCTCCTGTTTCTGTCCTGCCGCTGGCTGAGCACACAGTTCTCCAGGTCAAACACATCAGGTCAAGCCCCGCCCCTACTTCCCCATGGTCCCCAGCGGGGAGTGAATGAATGGATTTAACCTCCTCCAATTGTGGCCTCCAGCTAGGTGTCCCTATCTTCTGCTTAAGTAGCCAACCATTCCTTAAATGGATGGGCCATACTAAACAACTCCTGGCTCCCAACACACCTTGCCTATTTCAG